AAAGCCAAGTGTACCTAAAGCTCAGTGCTTGGAAACAGACTATTTTTTTTACTTGCAGGGACATCCGTGTAAGAGCTGTGGGCTGCAGCAGTTATCTGCTGCTTGGAGGCACATTTCCTAGAAATCTAGGGAGAGCAAAGGAAGCAGATGGATCCTCCCGCTGTCACCATCTACCAGTGTGACACGCATGAGATAAAACTGTGGGACAGTAACTGGGGAGCCTCCCAGCTGCTGGGCTTTGTTTCGAAAGCCTGGCATGAAGAGTTTCAGGCTTCCCTCCATTTCTCAACAGTCTCCAGAGAGTCAGGGGAGAAAACCTCCCCCTCTTTTTGTACCAAGTCATGACAGCATATCAGTTTCAAAGCCTGTCAGGCAGCACCTTATTGCTGGCCAGAGAATAAGACACGACAAAAGCACATCACAGCTGGACAGCATAGCTTAGTATTGCGGGGGGGGGGGGGGAGAAAACCTTTGGAGGGGAAAAAAGGTCTAAATTCTAGGGTTGCCAGCCTCCAGGTGGCGGCTGGAGATCCCCCAGAATTACAACTGATCTCCAGATGACAGAGACAGATGACAGAGCTACCTTCCAGTCCTCAGGAATGGAGGCTGATTTTAAGGAAAGATTACATATTTTTGTCAGGAGATCCACAAGTTCACATTTGAGTTCTTTCAGAACTCTCGGATGTATGCCATCTGGGCCTGGTGATTTATCAGCCCCTGGAGAAAATGGCTGCTTTGGAGGGTGGGCTCTATGGCATTGTAGTCCACTGAGGTCCCTGTCCTCCCCAGGCTCCATCCTCAAATCTCCAGGAGTTTCCCAACCTGGATCTGGCTACCCTACTCCCCCATCCCCTGCCAGTGGCTAGGGAGGACCTGGCCACCCTAAGGCATTATCGCCTGCTGAGGTCCCTCCTCTCACCAAGCCCCACTCTCCCCAGGATCCACCCCCCCAAAAATAAATTCCAAGAATTTCCCAACATGGAGTTGGCAACACTAATTATAACACAAGTTCTCATTCATATTTTTATGTGGGTGGTTTAAAATGGGGGGGGGGGGAGAGAGAAATGTGCCAGGTTGTGAAGTCACAAGCTCATCTCTGTCCTGGAAATTCTGTATCCTGATCATAAAGGTATCTGTACATTGGCTGTGGTTGTTCAGTAACGAAGGACAAGCACTGTGCATGTTCAGAAAGTCTCCTCTATTTAAGCTTACTTTAGATGTTCCACGGTTAACAATGTTGTAAGCTGCTTTGGGTCCCCATTGCAGAATAAAAAAACTGTGTCTAATAAATAAGTGTATGTGCTGTAGACAGATACTGGGCCTAAATTAAGCGGTTTCATGGCAAAGCAGGGATTTAAACCTGGGTCTTCCAGATCCCTAGTCTGACCATTTAACCATTATGCCAGACAGAGACCCAGCACAGCTAATGCTGAAGAGCGACAGTCTCCACTGGAGAACCAGGTTTGAGTCTCCAGTCCTCCACATGAAGCCTGCTGGGTGACCTTGGGCCAGTCACAGTTCTCTCAGACCTTTCTCAGGGCCCACCTACCTCACAAGGTGCCTGTTGGAGGGAGGGGAATGGAAGGTGATTGTAAGCCAGACACCAAAAGGTACAGAAAAGCAGGTATAAAAACCTACTCTTCTTCTACACCAAGCTGGAATTACACCAAGCAAAGCCGGCCTTTCCCTTACTGGCTACCTAAGGCCGTCTAGCAGCTGATATCTGAGATGGTCTTTAAAGAACCCTTCCTCTCCATACTTCTTCTGTTGTCATTGCCAGCCAACAAACAGTTGAAATTTGTCAGGATTCTGTCTCTGAAGCAGGATTCTGCTCTCTTGCCAGAATAGTCTGTTTGGCCCATGTGTGACTGAGGGCTTACTAAAAGAGACAGGAGAAGGGTGAGCTCAGTTTCTCACACAGGTAGTGATTATATATCAGAGAAGCCAACAGCAATCCTTTCCTGGGACCTGAAACAGGAAGAAAGCTGATTACAGCATTTGACCTTTTTGTCCTGCACGGCACAAGTAATGGACGTTTGATAATTTCCCTCATGTTGAGACTGGTAGCCATTGCATTTAAATATTGTGGAAGGAAAGCAAATTTCACATATATTCCCAACTCAATGGCTTCCATCAAATATGAGACTCCCAAGATCATGACATATAAAAACAGCTGTTTGTAAGCTTTTCACACCGGTTTTGGTTGGGTATGCAGATTTTTTTTTTAAGTGAGTACTGGATTCAGAACTATCCGATAGAAACAGAGCCCGTGAGCAAAGGAGAGCTCTGTCATGAAGCTCACTGGATGATGTTGGGTTGACTAGGATTGCTCAACCTAACCATACTATTGTGAGGATAGAATGGGTAACATCATGTTTACTGCCTTGGGCTTCTTGCTGAAACTGCAGGATACCAACATGATAAAATACAAATATGCAAGGCAGATGCGCTTTAAAGCTGTGCAAACCAAAGTTACAGAAAACAAAACATAACTGGAATAACCTGTGATACAAGTATGGCTGGCCTCCATACAATGGAAACCAGGAAGCAAAAAAAACCTCTAGAAGAGAGAGACTATGCATTCAGCACTATAAAGGAGAAAGTTTTCCTAGTGCCTGAAGGCCTTGGAAGTGCCAGAAAGAGGCTAGTTGTCATCAGTAGCGAAAATAATTTATTTATTTACTTTATTTATAACCCATCTTCTTTGCTGAGACTAAAGGCAGAGTGTAATGAGAGATCATGCAGTTTGTTCCTGCTAGTATTGTGTGCTTTCACTCCAGAGGTGCACTGGCAGGGATTCACTTGGTGGCTTTCATTACTGACCATAGTATCCTTCTGGACCAGGTGAACTGGAAAGGGCCTTGAAGGCTCTGTTTTGGGATGGGGCTCTGGCCTATGTGGAGATGCAGGATGCTATCTTACCCCCTATATTTATCATCTACAGGGGTGTCAAACATAAGGCCCAAGGGCCAGAACCAGCCCATCCAGGGCACTTACCCAGCCTGGAAGCAACTGGTATGGATGGGAATATAAGGTACTCCCCCTTTGATGGTATCTTTTTTTGGGGGGGTGAACCAGGAGCTTCACTCTCAGTTCTTCTGCTAAGGTCTGTCAGGGTTCAAGGCATCAGGATGGCAAAGAGCAACTCGTTTTTGCTTTATCAAAATTCAGAAGCACTTTGTGCTTTGAAGGCTCACCTCTTCCGTCTCCAGTTCGACTCTGGGCAAAGGGAGGGAGACACCCATTAACAACAATGCTCCACACTTCAGCTTTCAGAAAGCTCCGCAGAGTTTATTGAAGATGATTACAAGAAAGGAACAACTAATCACCGCACCCCAGCAGTGAATATAAAACATATCAGCATTCGCAAAGTTTCATGCTCCTTGGCCCAGCACAACTTAGAAAGTAAATTAGCTTAGGTCTAAAGGAAAACATCTGATATTAAACTGTCTGCTGGCCACTCAAGGCCAAGTAGCTAATTATTATTTGCAGCTGTGGTGCTCTTAAAGAAAAAACTCCAAGATCTTCAACTAAACAGTTCAAGGGGCTGAAGCTGAAACCACTTAGGGTCTCTATTTCAAGTTAATCATCTAAAGGTCAAAACAGAAGCACGTGCTGCTTCCATACAGGGGGGGAAACTAGTTTTGCATATGATTAAATACATTTATTGGGGCTTTTGTGGGTTTGCCTATGTTCTTTATAAAGTTTAAATCTCCGGTACCTGGCATTACATTTTATGGCACAGATGGCCTGGCCAGATCTGGTCCACGTAAGAAATGAGTTCAACACCTCTGAACATGACACCACTGGGGGAGATCATATGGAGATTCAGAATGAAATGGTCATTGTGACACTTATGATGCTTAGTCCTCACTCTTCTTCCGATCTAATTCCAGAGAGGCAGGAGAAATGTTGAACAAATATTTAGAGGGTATGAATGGACAGGATGAGGGCAAACAAACAGAGAGACCTGGTTTATGGACACAGGGGGAATTAGGTGGCAGAGGTGTAGGACTTTGGACAAGATGGAGGACACGGAACAACTTATTGTGAAATGTTCTGCTGTGTTACAAACATTCTAGTGAAAGAAAACCAGCATAGCAAGCAAAAAGAGAAACGACCTTCTGTCTCTGCTATGCCTATTTTCTAATTATATGGAGTTTATTAACGCAAAAGAACATTCTAAGTTGTAGTCCACCACCAACAGTTAAAAGTGGTGCAGTTCTTTTTCACCACCTCAGGGCCCTGCTCCCTCATTCTCATGCACATGTGAACTAGTCTTCAATCCAGACAATTACAACTACACTAGCTTCTGGGCTCAGTACAAAATTTCCCAAAAATACAAAGCCTTTTGTGGACTAGAACACACTTTAGCAGCTGCATATAGCAGATTCTTACTAGGCAGATACATATTTATTTATTTACTTCCTTACTCCACATTTCCCACTGAGCCTTGTTGCATTGCTATCCACTTTCAGACTTTAAAAAAAATCATAGTAATATTTTTTTTCTTTTATATATAATGTAAGACTCAATTATACTGTTATAGTGCATTGTTCTCATGTTGTAATCCAGTTTGAATTGTTTTTAGTTTTGCTATCCAGAGTGCAACAAACTGGATTACAACATAAGAGAACAATAACTGTTTACCATTTACAGTACAATAATTATACCATAGATAAATATAAAAGAGAAAATATGGCTATCAAGAATTTTTAAAAAAATTCCAAAGGATATTCCAGAGAAAAGGAGTAATGAAATGCAGGAAATGAATGCAATTAAGCAAAAATCAAATGCAAGGAAAATTCAAATTAACTTCACTACCATTAGCGCACACGCTCTGTGAAGGTCTGCACACCAGAAACCAAGGGCAGGATATTACTACTCTGTGTTCAAACGGTAGCCGTGAGTGGCGGCGGAAGTCAGACCTATAGAGGCCGCTCTATTTGCAGAGGAGGTTTTTCTCTGTCTTCTCTCAGCGAGGGGGAGGGAGGAGGGAAAGGAGGGTAAAGGTCGCTCGGAGCAGCTAGGCGGGAGGCAGCCAGAACGGGACAGTCTCGCCACTGCAGCAGCCATGGCGGAAGATCCACAAAAGAAGCCTTCTCAGGCGCCCATCAGCCCTGTAAAGAACTTCTTCGCAGGAGGCTTCGGGGGTGTCTGCTTGGTCTTCGTGGGGCACCCGTTAGACACTATCAAGGTGAGGGGAGGGGGGAAGAGGGGCGAGCGAGCAGGTACTACAAACTCCGAAATGCACCGCGCGAGGTGGGCTGCAGAAGGGAGCGAGCGGAGCGAGAGAGGCCTTTCGGAGAACTACCAGCCCCGGCATGCACCACGCAAAGGGGAACCCAGAATAAGAATAGATTCTAGTGAAGGTGGTAGCTCTCAGAGCTGGTCCGTGCAAAAACCATAATGAAGTCTGTCAACAACTCTGAAAGTCTACTAGATGTATTTGGGACATCCGCTTTCGTGAATTCGCTGTGACTGTGCAAGTGGGCTCTAGTCCTGGAAAGCGGATGCCGCAGTTGCATCTGTTGATTTTAAGGAGGGTACCAGTTCGGTTCTTCCGAATGAATGGTGGTTTTTTAAAAGAAGAGTTTCTGGGGCCGGGGAAATACTCAAAGAACTACAGCCCTCATGCATCGCGTGGAGAAAGGGATGAAACCAGCCTCTGGGCGTTAAGACGGCCGACATGCTGCGTCTGAAGAAATCAGAACATTCCGATGTCAGCTCTTTCCCAACATAACTTTACATAGAAATTGCTTACATGTGAAGGCTCCTCTCACGCATCAGACAAAGTGGACTCTAGGCCATGAAAGCTTATGGCGGCTGGGAATTAGTCTAAGGTAGCCCTGTAGGAGCAAAATAAACTAGTCCTTTGCATCTGATGAAGTGTGACGTTACTCACGCAAGTTTGGGCTGTAATAAACTTTGTTAGTATTTGAAGTGCCACTGGGCTTCTGTTTTATTGTTGTTGTGACAGACTTAACAGGGCTACCCCTCAGCAACCAGTTTCCCTTGTTCCTCAAAGCACATTATGTTGCCAGTAGTGCAGAGTCCCGTACTAGGGTCAGCCCTATTGTATGGTTACCGTAGGTTGTACTTTTGCCAGTTTAGCCCTTAACTAGCACGAGGTGCTAGTTAAAAGAGCTGAAGTATTGGTGGGGCCATGCCAGCATTGTGGCACCTGCTGGAAGAAGTTATGGGGCTGTACCCTTTCGCTGAATGTTGATGTGAAGACTTCCCCTGGAGGGCAGACATGTTACTTGTTCTTGTGGCTTTCCATTTCTCTTTAGCTCACTTTTGCACCATGCTTAGGGCAGTCTGCAAGAGCAAAAACAAGATACTCCTGTGACTAATGCTCCCTCTAAGCTGTGGAGTCCTGTGAGCAAAAATTCTACTTTGTGAGCAACTGGCATTAAAGTTGTGAGCGAGCCATTTGGTTACTGCATAAATTAGTTTGCTCTGGACTGGAGCCATCCTTCCTGAGCTAAGGCAGAAATGTGTGAGCTGGAGGCTAGAAAACTATGAGCTAGCTCACAGTAACTCAGCTTAGAGGGAACACTGCCCCTGTGACCAATAAAATACCAGCATAAGAACTCTGTGCCGATTAACTTCTCAGTACCCTTCTTCCCCCTTCAACGCTATCACCAACTGGCATCCCCCTCCAAAGAAAAACCCTTTATGGTATTTCTGGAAGATGTTGGAGGTTGGACTAATTAGTGAATCCCTGTGGGGAGGGGGATTGGCAACTGCAGAGTGGCCCCAGAGGGTGTGCCCCTTTGATCTTTAATTATCTGTATGACGCAGAGGCGAAATGCTTAGGTGGGTACTCATTGATCTGGGAGAATGATGGGATACTGAAGGCAGAGAGCAGTTTCTTTTGATTTTTACAGTCAAAGCTGTCATCTGCATAAGTTGTGCATTTTGTTCGAGACTTTTTTTGCAGTTTGCTTTTTTTTTTAGTAGAACAAGGTTTGAGTCCAGTGGCATCTTTAAGCCCAACAAAGGTATAAGCTTACGTGTGCTTTCCTTAGTGTTACTCATATTTCCATCAAATTAAAAAAATCTTCTGATCAGAAATTAGGTCAAAAGATCTGTGGTTTAGCAGAGTATCACAGATACCTGGCTGTCTAGCAAAATGTCCTGCCAAATAATTTGCTCTAGCACTGCATTTCAGGCTCTTTAACCAGATAGTTCTTTTGTGCTGATAAGGCCTCTAGTTAAATTGCTTTGGGGCAGCAGAGCTTGTTTTCCCCCTTTGTTCTCCAAACAATTAAGGGAGATGACACAGGACTGATCTGTTACGATGCAATTCACAGGAGCATTGACTGAGGTGTATGTAAGGGTGTCTAATTTCAGGAATGATAATTACACATCTCCATGTGTAATTCTGCACAATAGAAGAATTTAGCATTGGGCACAAAATTAGTATCCTAAGATTTATTTATTTATTCGGTTGTTTATAATCTGTTTTTCTCGCTGAGACTCAGATTACGTAGTGTAAATCAAGAGTTTGGGTTACGGAAATCTGAAAACAAGCAGAAATCTCAAACAGGGCTGAAACCTAAGCATGAAGTTTAAACAGAGGGTTGCCAACCTCCAGGTGGTGACAGGAGATCTGCTATTACACTTGTTCTCCAGACAACCAAGATCAGTTTCCCTGGAGAAAATGGCTGCTTTGGAAGATGGATTCTATGGCATTATATCCAGCTGAGGTCCTTCCTCTCCCCAAACTCTGCCTTCCCCAAGCTCCCCCCCCCCAAAAAAAAAATCTCCGGGTATTTCCCAACCTAGAATTGGCAACTCCATTTAAACATGATATGTTAAACAGTGTAGAAACTGCCTAGTCTGGAGCATACTTACAATAAACTATAGAGGTAACAATAAAGTGATGTGGGTCACAGTCCCTATTTTTAAAAAAGGGCAAACTCCTAGCTGCCTGGCAGTAAAGATGGATTTTTGAAAAGGCACGGGCAGTTATTACTCAAAATACTGAAGGTAAGGTAAGGGATCCGAGCAGAAGTTTCATGCAGTGTCTTCCATAACTGGTTGTTTCTTCCCATGTCATACAGAACCAAAACTGCTCAGGCAACCTGTGTAGGTACAGACAAATTAAACACATTTGAATCAGGTGAAAGGAGTCCTCCTCCTAGAATGTCACTTAACTTGGTTCAGAACTATACTGAAATGGCTGGCAGAGAGCCACATTGCCCTCCTCCTCAGCAGTGCTGACCAACTTATAATGTCCTTAACCATTCCAGATTTACGATCTGTGTGAAAACCCTTTAATCCTGTTTTCCAAAAGCTCCTGCCTTCTAATAAATCTTTTGCCTTTATTTGGATCATTAGACGTGCCTGCTGCCTAGGAGACAAAAGAAAACGCTGAAGTATGGTTTCTCTGTGCCCTTATATGACCATTTCTCTTTGCCCTTAGATGAGCCTCCTCGTTAATCATCGGATGACAAGACGATAGCATTCTGTTTCCAAAAGACAGATAGCAGAAAGGCATTGGGATGTCTTGTCGGTTGTACTTGGACGTGATCAATAATTGTGTTTAGAAGAATATGAACGAGGGGAGGGGGAAGCAAACTGGGAATGGCTGCCCTTTGAGCAGCCGTGTGGTCCCAGCTTGGGGAAAACTCAAGACCTACTGCTAGGTCTCAGTTTAGAGAGATAACTGTCCAAAGCACTGGTGTAGCTAGGGTTGCCAGCTCTGGGTTGAAAAATACCTGGAGACTTTGGGGGGGGGTGGATCCAGGAGAGGGCGGGGTTTGGGGAGGGGAGGGGCCTCAGCATGGTACAGTGCCACAGAGTCCGCCCTTCAAAGCAGCCATTTTCTCCAGGGACCTGATCTCTGTCAGCTGGAGATCAGTTGTAAAAGCGGGAGGTCCCCAGGCCCTACCTGGAGGCCGGCAACCCTAGGTGTAGACTTGGATGAAAGAAGGAGCCTGGTTGAATTACTTTGTCTCTTAGAGGATCTTTCCCAACTTTCCCCATAATCCCATCCATAAGGATTACGGCTAGGCACCCCTTCCCCCTAGCTGCTGCCATTATGCAACACTGTTCTCCAGCTAAGGAGTGGGATGGAAGAAGGGAGGGCGGGGTATAAATCTTAATAAATAAATAAATAAAAGTAGTAATTGTGTGTGTGTGGGGGGGGGGGCTAGGAACAGGGGAAGTGAATGGGGCAATCAAAGCTGTGGATGAGTATCTGGGCTATCTTGTCCTGAAGTCAATGTCTTAACAAATCAAGCGCAACTCTTTTATATATTTATTTAGAAAAGTATGTGCCACCTCTCCAGGAAATCTGTCCAAGGGGGCTTACAAAATAAAACATGATAAAAACATTAGAAGTTGTTAATTAAATCACCAAGCAGCTGGCAGATTTCAGGCTAAAAGCATACAATAAAAATGTTTGTAAAAGATCAGCCTGTTCATTAAAAGGAGATTTGAAAATGGGTTTTTTTAAAATTCCTTACACCTTCCTCTGTATCTGTTTTGCAGGTCAGGCTACAGACTCAGCCAAAACCTTTGCCAGGACAGTCTCTGATCTACTCTGGGACTTTTGACTGCTTCAAAAAGACTCTTGTTCAAGAGGTATTACTGTATTAGTCTTTCAGAAATGTTATTTCTTCATGTAACTTATCGGAACAAAACTGTGTAGGAATGATACACTAATATTCTTGGCTTATGAGTTCAGGTGGCTCAAGTTCAAATCTTTAAAACTGGACGTGTTGTTTGAAAAGGGGTCTGATGATGAGGGGGAAAGTCACTACCCAGTTCTCAGGCAAACAACATTTTGAAGATCAGACATCTTACAGGTCTGGGTCTGCAAGATCTGCAGAATGGAATTCCCTCCCCCTCACTTTCTTGCCAGGCCCAGTGGGGTTCCCTGGGCTGCATGGCCACCGGCAGGCCCAGCGGGGCTGCCAGGCTGTACAGCCATGGCCGGGCCCATTGGGGCTCCCGGGCTGTGCAGTCACCACCAATGGGCCTGGCGCAACTTCTGGGCTGCACCACCACTGCTGGCATTGGACCCAGCATGGCTCCCAGGCTCCTATTTTTAAGATTTCAGATTTTTTTGCAAACGGGGGGGGGTGGGGGGGGGTGTCACCCAAGTTTGCAGAAAAATCTGTTTGGGGTAAGTGTGGCCCTGATCTGTGGATTTAGGTATCTGTAGATGGGGGCCACACTTGGGAAGTAGATATATAGATATTTCGTGTTTAAAGAGGAGTGTACATCTCTTGAATCCTAGTGGTTTCCAGAATATTTTTGCAAAAATTAAAGCAATAGCATTAGGAATGTTCATATCATGGTTTGTTGTTACATGAAGAAACCTGGGGAATCCTGGGGAAGTCTCCTTCACTTGTGGCTTGAGAAACTAACTGCTTCCACTTTTGCAGCAAACCATAATTTGTCACTTTGTCTGAAGCGCCAATTGTGGTTTGTTCTTTTTCACCTCTATCAGGATTCCAAGCCATTGTTTAATCCTGGCATGAAGAGAAGACAACCAGCTATCATTTGTGGTTTAGATATATCAACAATGGATCAAAAATGAATTCTCAGAAACCTAGAAATACTCGATTTACTGATTGTATGTGGACAGGGGAGAGAGTATGTGAGCCTGAAGATCCCTCAGGCTCATTTGCATAATAGCAAACGTTCCTATGTCTCAGTAGTGTTGTTGATCTCTTAACAATGGGAATGATAACAGGTGCAGGCTTTCTTTCCTTTGTTAGCCTTAAAAACAGTATTGTATCTGCCCTGACCCTAACCTTTGTTAACACCAATCAGGTTGACTTTTTACCTGGTTTTGTGTACCTAAATCTGGGTAACAAATTCTGGTTAAGATGGGGAATCTGGCTAAGTGTTTGTAGAGGGTGCCCTGATCTGGATAGTCCATGCTAGCCTGAACTCATCAGATCTCAAAAGCTAAGCTGGGTCAACCCTGGTTAGTATTTGGAAGGGAGACCATCAAGGAAGCCTAGCGTGGCTATGCAGAGGAAAGCAATGGCAAACCACCTCTGTAAGTCTCTTGCCTTGAGAACCCTATGGGGTCGGTATATTGGTAACAACTTGACAGCACTTTACACACACACAATTTTTAGAGCTAACATTGGAAAAAGAAGGGAGAATTTGCATCCAAGAAGGAAAGTAGATATAGATACCAGTTTGGTGTAGTGTTTAAGAGCTGCAGACTCTAATCTGGAGAACCAGGTTTGATTCCCACTTCCCCACATGCAGCCAGCTGGGTGACCTTGGGTCAGTCACAGTTCTCTCAGAGCTTTCTCAGCCCCACCTACCTCACAGGGTGTCTGTTGTGGGGAGACAAAGGGAAGGTGATTGTAAGCTGCTCTGAGACTCCGAGTGAAGGGCAGGGTATAAATCCAACTCTTCTTCATCTTGCAAGTCAGTGGTGTGCTTCTGACATCTTGGTTACAGTTAAGAGGGATGCAGCCTTTTACATCCTCATGGTGTTACAGTGGAGGGGGTTAATGTTTTCTGTCCATCTGAGCTCCATCTGGTCAGTTTTAAAAAAGCAAAGCAGAAACACTATTTGTGACAGGAACAATTGTGATCCAGTGGCTAGCATTTTGGCTTTGGGCCTGGATATACTTCTTTTCAAATTGTGGGTTAGATCCAGTAATCTGCTCATCATCCAAAGTTCTTCCCTGGTTTCTCCTTTCCCCAGCAGCACTGACCTCAGGAAGGTTGATGCCGGGGGCTGCGGGACCTATGTGGAGAAATAGCCACGTGGGTTGGTGGGCTGCAGTACAGAAGGGAACGGGAGTGAAATTGCTCCCTTTCCCATCAGTGGAGCTCACTGTTGCTCCCTCCCCCTGCTCACTGCAGCCCAGCAGTTCGGGTTTTTTTTGGGGGGGGGTCTAATTGCTTCTCATTTCAAACACTTCCAGTTAGTGGACACTTCTAACTTACGGCATAATAATCAGCCAGACGATTTGGAGGCATCTTGTCATACAGTATGGAGGATAAGTTTTTGGGCTCCCCATGGAAACTGTTAGCATTTTCCTCAGTTGGAGCATGTTAGATGAACTTGCACCTTGATCCTTCTTCTCTTGTCCTCCAAGCGGTATGTTTTTGTTAAGAGTATGGCTACAAATGACGTAGTCCCGCGTCTTACCTGCTCGCACCAATCTGACTGTCTTCAGAACTATCTTGTATGGTGTCCCTCTTTGGTACCTGTGATGATTAACGTCTCACCCCACCCCCACCCTCGTCTGACGCGATGCAGGAAATCCAGTAATCCTCTCCCTTGCTGTGTCTTCCAGGGAATCCGAGGCTTGTACAAGGGGATGGCAGCTCCTATTGTTGGGGTGACCCCTATGTTTGCCATATGTTTCTTTGGATTTGGCTTGGGCAAAAAACTCCAACAGAGGACCCCTGACGACGTTCTGACGTGAGTGATGAGAGCTGCGTAGAGCATTCGAGGAAAGCGTTCTTGGGGGCTTCCAGGCTGCGCTGTGATACAAACAAATTACACAGTTTGGCACTGCAGCCAAGAGCTGAGTTCTCTTTCCCTTGCTATAAATATAACTTTTTTAAAAAAAAAAACACAAAATGAATAAATCTGGTTAAGTTTTAGGGCTCCTGGAAGCTTGGGACTGATGGCACTGGCTAAAAACAGACACCGTGTGTGGGTTGTTGCTGCACAGTTCTCTTCCCAGGCAAAACTGTGTCTGTTTAGGAAGGAGTGTGTTTCAGGAGAGTAAGGTATGCGTGTTACATAATCACAGGCTTGTAACACTTTCTCTTAATAGCAACCCTGAGCACATAAATAAGGTCTATGTGCCAAGCTCCAGCCGTTCGGTAGAACCAGGGGTCTTGTTGTAGAAAAAGAGCTGCCGGAGCTCATTAGCATAACTCATTAGCATAACTTATTTGCATATGCCACGCCCCCTGACATCACCGGAAGTGACAGAAGGCCACACCCCCTGACATCACCGGAAGTGTGTCAGAAGGCCCGGCTACTTACCCTCCTGCTTCATCCACATTCCCAAACGGAATGAGGATCGAAGCAGAGGGCGGGGTAAAGAAGGGGCGGGGCTTCACCACGTGACCGCCCCGCCCCCTAGAGGTTCTCTTCCGGAGCTCCGTACCTGAGAGCTCCCCCCCGACTAGAGCCCTGGGTAGAACCCATGCTCAAGTCGCATGTATGACTTGCCCTTCCCTTCAGGGAGGGGGCCATGGCTCAGCGGCCTGCTTGGCATGCAGAAGATCTCACGTTCAGTCCCTGGCATGTCAAGATGAAAGGATCAGGCCGTAGGTGACGTAAAGGTCTCTACCTGAGACTCTGGAGAGCCGCTGGCAGTCTGAGTAGACAATACTGATCTTGATGGATCAATGGTCTGATTTAGTATAAGGCAGCTTCATAGGTAAATGTTAGCTGAGGAGAAGTCTAGAATATGTGGATTACGAGACTGTTGTCTAAGTCTTTGGTCCTGTGTGTTCTTGTCACGGGTAAGGCTTTTTTTTTAAGAAAGTGGGATATATTGCAAAGTCAGCATAAATTGGACCAGGCTGCCGGACAAAGCATGTTTACTTGGAAGGTCTGAAATCTGAGTAAACATGGGCAAAACCATAAACTGCAAATACTGTTTGCCAAATCAGGGCTGTGCTGAAAGGGGAGATATATGGCAGATGTGAGTAGCTGAGGTATGGTTCGTGTGTCACCCTACTGGAATTTCTTTTTAAAATGTGTATTTATTTCCGTTTCATTTATACCCCACTTTTCTTCCCAATGGGGAACCAAAGTGGTTGATGTCATTCTCCTCTCTTCCACTTAATCCTCACAACAACCCTGTGAGGTAGGTTAGGTTGAAAGTCTGCTTGGTTCAAGGGCATCAAACAAACTCCCATGGGAGAGTGGGAGCTTGAACCTGGGTTTCTCAGATCCTAATCTGACACTCTAACCACTACACCAGGCCGGTTCTTTAAACCTTGTAAAGTTTTGAATCCTCAGTGGCCATCAGGGAGAGTGGCAGTCTCCTAGCACTGCTTTCTGGCTGCTGCCTTCTGGGAAGGAATGGAACCACCACAGTGCAGTGCCTATCAGTCCTGTCCCTGCCATCTGATCTGGAAGGGATTATATGGTTAGTGGTATCAAACGTCACACAGACATCTAGAGAATTAACAGGGACATTCTCCCTTTGTTTCTCAGCACAAGTCGTCCACAGGGCAAGTAGTCCACAGCTCAAGCTGCATTGGAGTCCACACTGGCATGAGCTGGGGCCTATGAGGAACTGCAAAGAGGGGGGAACAATTTGGTAGTCCCTCGATCTCCCCAAGATTTCCCCCTCTGGGATTCTGTAAACTCTCAGGGACTTAAGCAAGGTCATTTCCCCTCCCTTCCACTCCGTTTCCCCCCTTATTTTCTCTAATGCTCCCGGAACGTATTCAGTTCTCACCGTTCAGGCTTCTTTATCTTTTGCTTAAGTTACAAAGCCATTGTTCTTCAACATACCTTTGAAATTTCCTTTATAAAGAATTTCTGCATTTTGAAATACACGAGTGTGTACAGGAAATCCCATCTTCTAGTATATAATTTAAGGTCTGTTTTTGTTGAACTTGTGATAACTGTCAGCGATGTCCAAGAACAGGTGCCCCTGAACATTTCTTGGTGCCTGCCAAGTGTTTGTTGGAAAGCGAGCTGGGTCAGGTGGGGCTTCTGCCCAGCAAGGCTTCTGGTTGACCATTAGAGCATTGATTGGCTGTGCAGATCTTTAAAAACATTGCTTTGGCAGCAGCTAACACTACAGCACAAGGCTTTTCAATGTGCAACTCAAGAAAAGCTTGTGGAAGCCATTTTGTGACTGGTTCTGCCTCCTGTAACAGCCATTTTTTGGCTGTCCTCACCACTCAATGCTCCCTCTAGGCTGTGGAATCTTGTGAGCAAAAATTCCACTTTGTGAGCTACTGGCATTAAAGCTTTGAGTGAGCGATTTGGCTACTGCTCAAATTAGTTTGCTCTGGAGCCATCCTTCCTGAGCTAAGACAAAAAATGTGTGAGCCGGAGGCTAAAAAACTGTGATCTAGCTCACACCAACTCAGCTTAGAGGGAACACTGCCACCATGCTGTTTCAGAATTCCAGAGGTGCTCACAGGCTCAAAAAGGTTGAGGACCCCTGCCATGGTGCATTTACATTAGGAGGTTAATAATTTAGTAATTTTTAAATATTGTTCTGTAAAAAGGACTACATATGTGTGGATGCATGCGTGTTGCATGCGTACCTGCTCCCGTATACTGGCTGGCTCAGGTGCAAGATTTTCAGAAGCATTGCATATACTTCTGTGTTTTGTATTTTGGGCTTCTTACATTTAACTTGTCTTTTACATATATAAGAAGCAGGATACTGCATACCTTCTGCTTGGGTCTGCCCGATGCTTATTTCTGTGTCTTTCCATTTTTATAAACAATCTCTAGACATAGTAGTGTCACTTTATAAGGAAGGAGGGGGGGAGTAGGCTTGGTGGTGATTGGTATTTTTATGTCCTTTTTATTCCTCATCTATCCATTGACACATGTCTTTATGTATTGCTGCCCAACATTTGAATTTTTTTTCCAGGAGTCTTTCTCCAGCTTTATGTTACAGTCTCACTGACTACAGCTAATGTATAAGCCAGGTTCTGTCCTCTAAGGTTTTTTTTTTTTTTTGGTATCGCCTAGCAGATACTCATAGATATGCTACAACACTGGTTTTGTTTTTAAAAAGGATGTTTAATTCTATACCCAAATCAAATATTTGCACAGAATTACAGAATACTCCATGCTCTCAGCCATTTTGTCATGACTCCAATCCCGCTTTTTTGGGGGGGGGGGGAATTACAAGTTTTGTAAAAGCATACAGACATTAAGCATGTACATGGTTTGTTCCACATGGAAAATCCTGTACTAGAAGAGGGTCCTCATTTGTCTATATGAGTTTCATTTAGTAACACTGGAGGATGCTGATGCCCAGTGTTATGCATCCTTGCCCACCTTGACCATTTTTGGCAAGGTGATGCTGACTGGCTGGGATAGTCTGACGGAGAGAACTTTTGCCTTTGGCAGAGGGGCAGCTCTTTCCCCTTTGAAGTGATTATGGTGCTTCTGCCTTTGGCAGAGGGGCAGCTCTTTCCCCTTTGAAGTGGTTAAGGTACTTCTGAATACTGTCGTTTGAGTCCGTGGACCTGAACACTAGAACAAATATATAGTTGGCTGTGGAGCTTCTAAATGAAACAGATGGGTAAGAACATAGATCATTTGTCTCTGGTTACAATTTTGGCCTTGAAAACTACCTTGATTGCCCTGGTGGATGACTTCGTGGAAAAGAGGTCTCTGAATATCAGTGCTAGGAGGCCTCCAGGGCTATTGGTTCGGTGGCCGTATGAGACAGGTTGTTACACTAGATCAGTGATAGCAAACCTTTTAGAGACCGAGTGCCCAAACTGCGACCCAAAACCCACTTATTTATCCCAAAGTGCCAACACGGCAATTTAACCTGAATACGGAGGTTTTACTTTAGAAAAAACAATTCATACATTAACTTAAGATGATCCAAACAAAGTAAGTAAAGCAATCCCAAATGTTTTCATTTACTTAAAATTATTTGGCAGAGAATTCGACACTTTAATGATGGTCTGGGCCTGGCTGGGGCGATGGCACGCGTGCCCACAGAGAGGGCTCTGAGTGCCCCCTCTGGCACCTGTGCCATAGGTTCACCATCACTGCACTAGATGGACTACTGGTCTGATCCAGCAGGGCTGTTCTTCTCTACTTACAAATGTTTGGTGAATTGTGAATTTTATTCCATGCCCATTTCTGTCATCAGTATGTAATTCTTGTTTATCCTTTTAAAAATTCTTACTCAGTTGTATTGTATTGATTGTGTTGTTTTTAACAGAGGGGATTTTTTTTTTTTGGAAGGCATGTGGAGGAATATAAATTGGGGAGAGAAAAAAATCAAATAGAATTATTTAATTGCTTCATTGAATAGATGAATTTTGTACAGAACTAGCTTTCTTGGCACATAATTGGAATAATTTATACTCAGTATGAAGAGCCCTAATTATTATTATTTTTTTAAAGTAGCGGTTTGGTATTTTTAGCTCTTTGGGGATGGAATGGAATAATGGTGGTTGAGTGGAGGGAAAAAAAGAAGAGCATAAATGCTGCAGCCCTGAAGTGCTGTAGATTTACAGTGCAATCCTAAAAACACTTTCTAGGGAGTAAGTGCAATGAGTAGACCTGAGTTAGGATTCTGAGTAACTTGATTTGGACGGCACTGTTAGTAAGGTGATCTGGTAAGGTTTTTTGGTGGAGAAACTTCTCCATTTCTTTTTCTTTTTTTTCAATTTAACATTTTTATTGAAGAAACAAAGATTTGACATGCTTGTTACCATTGCAAGATACATAGTTTTGCACTTTACAGTTGGTTTAGAGGGGATTCTCCATTTCTTGAGCTGTGTGCAGGAAAATGGGTATCCCACAGTTCCTGTCCTGTCATGTCCCTGTGTAGGTATCCCCAGCTGTTTGCAGCAGGCATGTTATCTGGGGTGTTCACCACTGCAATCATGGCTCCGGGAGAGAGGATCAAGTGCCTTCTACAGGTAAGAGAGCCATAAGGAAGCCATTTATCTGTCTTCTTTTCCAGAAGGCTTATTTGACCATGGCGCCCTAATGGAAGTTCCACATCCTTCATCTCGTTACCTGAATTCACTGAGTATCCTCCTCCTTACATTTCAAAGAGAGGGCATCATAGCATCACACGAGTGGCTGTTCTGTTGATCCAATTCTCTAATTAGTTTGACTGTCCAATTTGATAAACATATTTGGCAAATCTCTATGTATCCTGTTTCCACCATCACTTTTCTTGAACAATGGCTGGAATGCTATTGAAGAGAGCAGGAGAGGAGAAGAGACAGAAACTTACCTAGCCAGCCAGAAGCTGGCTAGTCCTGCTGCAGCCTGAAGACCACCCACCAAAGAGCCAAGGCTCTTTTTTCCCTAAATAGTGTATTCTGTGCTGAGGTTAGAACAGTATTCTCCAAATAGGGCTGAAGAACCTCTTAGACACAAAGTACCTTCTGAATGCGTGTGTGACAGGCCTTTTCTTGAAACCGAGGTGACCCACACTGTCTGTCTGATGAATCTGGGAAACCTGCTTGGTGTTGAGGTATAAGCTCTTTCCCCCAGTTACAATATTTTCCTGCCTACACAATGGTCCTGCCTGCTTTCCTGAAGCAAGTGGTGGGTACCTGGGCAAGTTCCTGCAGGCTCCACATTGGAGAACCCTGGGTTAGACTGTCAGAAATTTACTAGTAGAAGCTAAGGATCTGGAAAGGAAAGGAAGAGTTACTGGGGATATGTTGATTTCCTTTCCACCATTTGGGTCAGTTTATCATCACCTGACTTTCTGCAGCTCATGTCTCAGGCTGCTTCTGAAGTGGTTGTCAAAATTTATAGAATTATCCCTTACCAGGTTAGATTCATAAATAATGTGGGACATTTTAAAAACACTCAGGTCATAGTTATGAGAAACTGGTTCTTTCAGATCCAGGCAGCATCAGGAGAAACTAAATATGGAGGGCCCTTGGACTGTGCCAAACAACTATATCGTGAGGCTGGAATTCGAGGGGTATATAAAGGAACGGTGCTCACTCTCATGAGAGGTAAGTGCTGGGAAAGTGTTCTTTAAGGACCCATGTAATATGTTGGTACTGGATAGCTCCTTTTGTGTTTCACACAAAGAAGATAATTTAAGAGCCAGTTTGGTGTAGTGGTTAGGAGCGCAGACTCTAATCTGGGAGAACTGGGTTTGATCCCCCAGTCCTACACATGCAGCTGCTGGTGTGAACTTGGGTCAGTTACAAGTTCTCTCAGAGCTGTTCTTTCACATGCAGTTCTCAAAAGAGCTTTCTCAGCCCCACCTGCCTCACAGGGTGTCTGTTGTGGGGAAGGGAAGGGAAGGACATTGTAAGCCCCTCTGAGACTCCTTCGGGTAGTGAAGGGCAGGGTATAAATCCAATCTCCTCCTCCTCCTCCTCTTGCTGTTTTTTCCTGCTGTCCATCCCTTGCCCCATTTGAGTCAAAGAGATGAACCTCCTTGGTTCTAACTACAGGACCCAGTGTAATCGTTTGTGTCATTTCCAGAATTCTGCTTGTGGCAAGCTGACAGAACTTGCCTTCCCATGGCAGAATTTTGCAACGGTCCCTGTTTGTGCCTCTGGTTTCTCTGAGTCTGCCTCTGTTTCCTTGACCGTCTAGATGTTCCAGCCAGTGGGATGTACTTCATGACCTATGAATGGCTGAAAAATATTTTGACGCCTCAAGGGCAGAGGTAAGTAAGAACACTGAGCTTTCCCACAGATGCATCCAACTTTTTTTTGTGTGCTGTTGAGAATTAAATTACTGTTTAGCCTTGATAATTCCTCTGCAGCATTAATAATACTCAATATGTATATAGTGCCTTGCAAGTGAACAAAAGACTTAGCATGAATATCACACCATTCTGCTGTCACTCCACTGATTGCCAGTCAGTTACTTTGTTCAATGTTTGAGTCCTATTGCATTGTTTTATTGGATGTCTTACGTTGATTGAATTGATTTTTTTATATTTTGTAAACTGCCTCGAGTCTCAGCAAGAACAGTGAGCTATACGTGAAGTAAAAAAAAGAAGAAACAATTGTAATATTGCAGTTTCTTGTCACCTCTTTGTCAGTTTCCAGATGGGTCATTGTTGATGCTGCACTTTACCTGTACATTAAACTAGCTTTTCATTTGCCACTGATCTGATGGTTAAATGCTAATGTCCCTTCAACCAGGGTATCTGCAAGGGAGCACTGCTCTATTGAGCCAGTACGCCTTGCTATGGAAGAAAATAGATGAACAGCAAATTTAAGAAGCTATTCTTTTTGTCTGTTCTTTTCCTTGAGAGGATTGATTTCAGTCTGTCCTGATGCTTTTGTGACAGATCGGCAAAGATTGATTTCAGATTTCTTTCCTTGAGAGATAAATACTGCTGTCGTAGCACATACCTTTTAAGCCATCTGTATTCTGAGCATACGGTACACTGCAGAGCCTGGATTCTGAGAAACTTAAAGTATATATATTTTTCTAAACTTGATGAGTGCAGAACAACACTGGAAGATCTGCAGGGCAATGAGTTCTAGAAGGCTAAGAAAGAAACTTGTGGGGGTTTTGCATGGTTGCTTTCATCAGTCAAGAGACTTTTGTTATGTCAATTCCCTGCATCTCTTCTTTCCCTCCCCCAACTCCATTCCCTTCTCCCAGCTCGTTTTCTTACTCATTTAATGTCCCAGGTCATTGCTGACAAAAACTCATATGAAGGAGAAAAAAATTCCAGCATTGTGATTTAATTTAAAGGTTGCAGTTGTATGCAGTCATGCATGATCTAAGGCCGATTACAGAAGGAGCTGCAGTGGCTCAGAGGTTAAGACGCTGAGAGTTGCAGACCAGAAGGTCGGTAGCTCGGCAGTTTGAGACCCTAGCGCTGCATGACAGAGTGAGCTCCTGTCTCTGGCTCCCGCTCCTGCCAACCTAGCAGTTCGAAAGCAAGAAATTGCAAGTAGATAAATAGGTACCGCTTCGGTGGGAAGGTAACAGCATTCCATGCGCCTCGGCATTTAGTTATGCTGGCCACATGACCATGGAGAAGTTTTCAGACAGTGCTGGCTCTTTGGCTTGGAAACGGAGATGAGCACCGCCCCCTTGAGTTAGATTCGACTGGTTTTCAAGCAAGGGAAACCTTTACCTTTACCTTTACTTACAGAAGGGATGGTACAAGTAGATATCTGGAGAATTTTGGTGCCTCTTTATTGCTTTTTCTGGTCCCCGGACGTTTTGCCCTTCATAAATGAAGAGTGTTTCCCTTTATGTCTCTCTCTATTATTTTTTTTTAAATGCTTTTTGCAGTGTCAGTGACCTCAGTGTACCCAGGATTCTCTTAGCTGGTGGCATGGCAGGGATCTTCAACTGGGCTGTTGGGATCCCACCAGATGTGTTGAAATCCCGCTTCCAGACAGGTGAGTCAGCTGTTACTCCAATAAAGATATCTTGGGGCAGGAGTAGCCCTGAAGATGGGCTTTTGTTGCTTTTTTATGTTCAGTTTTATCTCACCTTTCCTCCAAGGAGCTCAGGGTGGTTGTTTTTCCTCCCCCATTTAATCCTCACAACAGCTCTCTTCACTTGAGGTTATGACTTGCCCCAAGGTCATCTGGTGATCTTCATTGCAGAGAGGGGCTTTGGGTCCTAGTCTGACAACTCTACTCAGTACACCAGTCGGCTGTCAGGCACATAATGCTTAATCCAGGGGTGTCAAACGTAAGGCCTGGGGGCCGGATCTGGCCCATCCAGGGCTTTTATGCAGCCCGCGAGCAACTGATGCAAAGGAGAGAGTGCTGGGGGGGGGGGGAGGAGAGGGCAGAGCATTATGGGTTTAGCACAGCAGAACAACCTCGCCTGCAGCAGACAAGCATCATGGGAGCATCTGCCCAGCATTGCCCTGCTGCCTCTCTGGTCCGCCTCTGTGGGTTTTCCTCTGCAAACTCCCCCTCCCACCCCAGGGGGCCTTGCAGCGAGGATACAATAGCTCAGAGCTGACCAGCTGCTGTCCTTTACACAGTTTCTATCTCTAGTACCTGGCATTGTTTTATGGCATACATGGCCTGGCCCGACAAAGAGACATTTTATGTCAGATCCCACCCTCATAACAAATGAGTGTGACACCTCTGGCTTAATCCTTTCCTTTCAGGCACATTATTTATCTAAAAGAAGGCTGTACTGGCATACCGCTTGGGTGACTGCCTGCCTCTTGCTTTGCTGATTTCTGACTTCTTAATGCGGTGGGTGTGGATAAAATATCCAAGGCCGTTTGCCATAGAATTGCACTGAAATCCCACCATATTCTTATGAGAACAACAGAAAGTCAGGGATTATCTGTTCAAGGCTCCATTTGCTCACAGTGAATACCAGTGGCAGGAGGCAACCTCAGGGGAAGGCCTCAGCCTCTGTAACCTGGTATTGGACCACCAAAGGAACTGGCTGGCCACTATGTGAGACAGAATGCTGGACTAGATGGACCCTCAGTGGCCTGATCCAGCAGGGCTCTTCTTGTGTTCTTATGGTCTTCCTTAGTGCTCCTCTGAGCATTGTTCTGGCACAATAGCCTGTGGCACTCTCTCGTTTAATCCTGCATCGTTCTCTGCTTCATATCAGTTTTTCTACCCCATTATGACAGCTAGCGCAGAACTCGTTCTCACTGTCTCATTCCTTCCCTTCTAATCAATTGCTGTTGTTCAGTCGCACAGTCGAGTCCGACTCTCCGCGACCCCATGGACCAGATCACGCCACGCCTTCCTGTCTTCCGCTGTCCTCTGCAGTTGGCTCAATTTCATGTTCGTTGCATCTATGACACTGTCTAACCATCTCATCCTTTGCCGTCCCCGTCTTCTTTGACCTTCAGTCTTCCCCAGCATCAGGGTCTTCTCCAGTGAGTGCTCCCTTCTCATTTGGTGGCCAAAGTATTTGAGCTTCAGTGTCATTATCTGGCCTTCCAGGGAACAGTCAGGGTTGATTTCTTTTAGGATTGACTGATTTGATCTTCTTGCAGTCCAAGGGACTCTCAAGAGTCTTCTCCAGCACCATAGTTCAAAAGAATCTATTCTTCGGCGCTCGGCCTTCCTTATAGTCCAACTCGCGCAGCCATACATGACTACTGGGAATACCATTGCTTTGACCATGTGGACTTTTGTTGGCAGGGTGATGTCTCTACTTTTTATCATGCTGTTGAGGTTCGTCATCACTTTCCTCCCAAGGAGCAGGTGTCTTTTAATTTCATGGCTGCTGTCACAGTCTGCCGTGATCTGGGATCCCAGGAACGTGAAGTCTGTCACTACTTCCACGACTTCCCCTTCTATTTGCCAAGGAGTGATGGGGCTGGATGCCATGATCTTAGTTTTTTTGATGTTGAGCTTCAAGCTCACTTTTGCGCTCTCCTCTTTTACTCTGAGCAAGAGGCTCTTTAGGTCCTCTTCACTTTCTGCCATTAGAGTGGTATCATCTGCATATCTGAGGTTGTTGATCTTTTCCCAGCAATCTTAATTCCCGCTTGTGATTCATCCAAGACAGCATTTTGCATGATGTACTCTGCATATATATTAAATAAGCAAGGTGACAATATACATCCTTGTCGTACTCCTTTTCCTATTCTAAACCAATCAGTTGTTCCATATCCGGTTCTAACTGTTGCTTCTTGACCCTTATACAGGTTTCTCAAGAGACATATGAGGTGGTCTGGTACTCCCATCTCTTAAAGGACCTGCCATAGTTTGTTGTGATCCACACAGTCAAAGGCTTTAGCATAGTCAATGAAGCAGAAGTAGATGTTTTTCTGGTACTCTCTTGCTTTTCTAATCAATAGTTGTGTGTTTTTAAATTATTTTTATACCATCTCTCAGCAGTTAACTCTCTGAGATGGCGAACGATGCAAAAAAAAAATTCTAACTACTATACAAGTGGTGGAACAGCAATTAAAAGGCAAAACAGCAGCAAATAAAATGAAGTCATTCAGATTAGCAGTGGAGAACTGCTATTGTTAAAATACACAGCAGCAAGTAGAAGAACAACCAAATGTAAAACAGCAGCATGTTTTAAAACTGAACTGCGGATTGAAACACAGCTGGAAAGTCTAGCAGGAAAGAGAAAGGGAAGTGCTAATCACCAAAGGCTTGAGAAAACAGAAACTTTTTCACCTGGCGCCTAAAACTTTAACAGAGAGAAAGTGTCAGGTAAACAGTCGTGGGGTGGGAGGTCCATCGGCATGTTGAGAAAGCCCAGTCCCCTGTGGCCAGTCACCTCACCTAGTGAATGGGGGCAAATGCAAAGGGGGTCTCAGGTGCTTATCTTAGTGCTTGGGTGGGTTCCTTTTTAAGATACTCCAGTTCCAGACTAGGCAGGGCTTTATATTGTAGGTACCATCTGTTTGAATGGTACTTGGAAACAAATTGGCAACCGGTGCAGCTCTTTTCAGACTAGTGGAATGTGTTCTCATGCAGATGTAGCAGCCAGTAGCCTTGCTGCTGCTTTCTGCCCTATCTGGTTTCCAAACTGTGTTTCTACTGGACCGGATCATCATCCTGAGGTAGGAGCATGACCTTTTAGGGGTTCTGCAATTGCATCCAGAACAAGCTGATGCCCGTTTCCTTGGCTGGTACCAACCGCAACTACCATGACTCCAGACACCAGGGGGGGAGTCAGTGCTGACGTGGGGTACCCTTGCAGTTTTGCAGTCTTGTACAAGGCCTTTGTGGAGCATTTTCAGAGGTAAACCTGAAGGCCACTTGCATGACCTGGCCTGTAAATAGCCACATGTGTAGTCAGCTGTGTCAAGTCCAGATGGCTTTTCAACAGTGAGTTTGGGGAGCTTTTGTAAATTGGTAGGGTCGATTCTTTCAGGCCATCTTTGTGGCTTTTAACGGCTTTCGCTGGTCTGTGTGGTAGGGTGGTGAAATGCTACATAGAGCTTTTCTGGCTTTATTTGCAAAGCTGTCTGTTCACCCCATTACAGCAGAAGGCAGCCATCTCTCTCATAAAGTTTTACCCGCTTTGCTCGCAGACGTTGGGTGTGCTGCAGGGTGGCTGGAGCATCAGGTCTGGCAGACAACTCACCCAGAAGGAGCTGTGATTTGCCTGGCTACATCAGTAAATGGCTCACTGCAGGGGCAGCTGACTCCAGAAGCCTTCCTCTGAGGAAGGGTGCCCTTTTCCCCATTTGGGTGTCTCGCCCAGACCCTCTTCTTCAGTGAAAGTTTTCTAGGGTCATTCTAGCCTTGCCTTCCTTCCTTGCCCTGTAACCAGCACCCTTCTACTCACGCATCAGTCTCTTTCTGTTCTTCTCTTATCCCTCTAATGTACACACGCAAGCACTCTGGGCAAGGACCACGTCTCTTGTACCACGGTCTGTATTGGGTTTAGTGTAATGATGTCATGGCAGAAGGATGTAGTGTTTTCACCCTCGGTGGCAGTCCTCATATAAGTCGCATTGGACAGTTAGATTGTTGGGGGAGGAGCAGGAGTTTGCATTCCACTGGGGACAGGCCGTGGTCCAGTGGAAGAGTCTCTGCTCTGTGTGCCGAAGGTCCCATGTTCAGTCTCCGGCATTTCCTGTTAAAAAGGACCAGGAAGCAGGTGATAGACCTCTTCCTGAAACCCTGGAGAGCTGCTGCCAGTCTGAGCAGACAACGCTGACCTTGAGGGATTGATGGTCTGATTCACTGTAAGTCAGCTTTATTGTGTGCCTCCCCTGTCCAGGTCCTCTCAGCGGCTAAGGCTCGCAAGCCGTGTTCCCTCTACGCTGAGTGAGTGTGAGCTAGCTCACAGGTTTTTAGCCTCCATCTCACACAATTTTTGCCTTCGCTCAGGAAGGAGGGCTCCAGAGCAAACCAATTGATGCAGCTGCCAAATCGCTCGCTCACAACTTGAATGCCAGTAGCTCACAAAGTAGAATTTTTGCACACAAGACTCCACAGCTTAGAGGGAACATTGCTCACAAGATGCTGACGCCTTAACTTACACCTCTTTGCCTTGCTCAACAGCTCCACCGGGGAAGTACCCCAATGGCTTCCGAGACGTCCTGAGAGAGCTTGTCCGAGAGGAGGGGGTGATGTCTCTGTACAAGGGATTCACAGCCGTGATGATCAGGGCCTTCCCTGCCAATGCTGTAAGCGGACTGTGACTTTTTGTTGGATTCTGGGAACTTAAATATTGAAACGGGGCCCGTTGACATTGTTTGTTCATTTGGCAAGGCAGGTCCATTTGCCCCCAGCCCCATCAAACCAATTGATGCAACCCGGTCTTGTGCACGCCACGAGAATGACCGAACGCAGGAAATCAAGCCAAGCTAAAGTGCAAGGGTTACTAGACAGTCTTTTGACTCACCGTCATCGGCTTCAAAGGGGAATTAGATAAGCATATGGAGCAGAGGTCCATCAGTGGCTATTAGCCACAAGGTATAGATAGGGACTCTGGGGCAAGTGATGCTCTGTCATCTTGGTGCTTGGGGGGGGGGGTCAACAGTGGGAGGGCTTCTAATGTCCTGGCCGCACTGGTGGACCTCCTGATGGCACCTGGTATTTCTGGCCACTGTGTGATACAGAGTGTTGGACCGGATGGGCCTTTGGCCTGATCCAACATTGGCATCTCTTATGTTCTTATGTTCTTAAGTGTGACGGTACAGATGCAAAGCTCCTCCATCTCCAAAGGGAAATATTGATGGGAGTGTAAGTTTCACACCACTCAGCAGTCTGACCCTGTGGCACTTCCTGATGCCCTAGAGAAGGAGAGGGTTGTTGGCTTGTTCCCATTTTATTACTTACCGAAACACCCAGTTGACCTTCTTGGTTTTGAAGGAAGCGCTTTTAGGATGGGATGTAAATGACAGTACAGACCAAGAAGAAGGGAATTTTTATTTCTATGGCTCGGGGGGTCCGTTGTATCATAAAATCTGCATTCCAGCCCACAGGAGAAATGCAAGGAAATTTCCACCTGGGTGATGTTCGCAAAACAAACAAATTAAGAAATCACATCATCTGACTTAAGCCCGTCTAACCAGTCCAGAACTGAGATCTGGACCTCCAGGGGGGTCCCCCAGGGCATGCCTTGCATGAACCACTAGACCATGTCATCTCACAGACTAAGTTTATCCCCGTCGTCATCATTCTCCCATTAAAGATCAGTGAGGCTAAGCGAAGAAGAAATGAACATAAAACTGTTACAAAATACTGCTCCCTGTGTAGTAGTGGGCTGCAGTGGGAATTCTTTAGTCCTCCGTTCAGTTTACAGTCATTTTTAACTCTCAAGTTTTTATTATGCCCTTCCTTCAGGGAGTTCAGGGAAGCATTCATGGCTTTCCCCTTCTCCACTGTAACCCTTACAATGGCCCTGTGAGGTAGGTTAAGCTGAAAGAGAGCAGCTGGCCCAAGGTCACCTAATGAGCTTCATGGCTTGGGGAGGGAGGGAGGGAGGGGGACCTGGAACCCAGACCTCTGTCAGTACTAACCTCATCTTAACCTTTCTTGCTTTTCTTCCAGGCCTGTTTCCTTGGCTTTGAAGTTGCCATGAAGTTCCTAAACTGGCTTGCGCCCAGTCTGTGAGGACCGGCAGAGTGTGTTCCAAAGGGAGCTCAGTGACCAGGAACTAGAATGCATCTATCTCGGAGGAACAGGATAGAATGATGAAACAAAATAAGCGCTAGAAACAGCTAGTTTTCTACTAATCTTTATTGCCTTACTCACACCCTCTGGGTGGAGCTGTGTTGCCACCTGGAATCTTGAACTGAAACTCTTCCCATCCGGAGTTCAAGAGAAGTTCAAGACACAAAGCCTGCCTTCTGAACCCAAAGTTTCCACCGTGGGTAATGCTGCTAATAGGAAAACCTTATTGCTATTAATGGGCAGCAAGGCCTGTTCCTGTTTGCCTCCTTGGGAAACACAAGGGGGAGGTGGGGAACAGCCACAGTGCACTTAATTCTCAGGATAGAACTTAATAATGGCTTGCCACCACTGTAAGAAGAGTATTTTGCTTAGATTTGCATTTCTTGGGTACTGTCTGCCACCAGTGTTCGTGTGCATGCTCCACTGAAATGCATGGGGGTAATGTAGGAACACTTGTGCAAGTCCCTTTCCTCTCAAGGTGCTCTCACATGGCACTTTCACGGTAGACACTGGCCAGAAGTCTCCGTTGGTTGCCTTGATGTATGTGGTCCACAATCAAATCGCATGTCGATGCTGCGTGGGGGGAGGGGGACTGTGCATGTAAATTTGAATGTAGGGGCCTGGAGAGGGCAGAACCCAAGTGAAATGTAGCTTGGGAGTCACTGAATCCAGGGGGCTGAATCAATGAAGGGCTATGAGCCCTGAATTTAGAATACGGTGACAATCTCAAACAGGTGAACTAGAGAGGTAAAGGAGTAATCAACTGGATGTTTTTTTGCTGACTCCCATGTTGAGTTGGAACGAGTGGTCAGTACAAAAAGTATCTCCTCCCCGTTTCTCTAAAATGATCTTCCGGTAGGTGCTTTCTGGGTAACTAGATGTATTCCTGAGTCGCAACTTCATAAGTGCCATGTTAACCGCATGGTGTGTTTGGGGTGTCAAATGAGGAATTCTGTTATGGGCCGTATCTATGGCTGTATAATGAGGATTTCAAAGTGAGGAGGGATTTTAAAACTTGTTTCTAAGGCCGAAGAGGACTGAATTGGGATAAACTACCTTCAGAATTATTCTGTTTTCACTGCAGCTCTGCCTCAAGAGGACTTTATCACGTATAATCTTTTTTTTTTACTGAAGCACATCCAGAGCACAAAGCATTGAGACAGAACTATCAGTCTATAAAATGTTTCACTAGGATGAATTGATATCCTGGATTTTTTTTAGGATTCAATAAAGTTTGCTGATTCTCAGCCAGAATGTTTCTTCGTGTTCTTACTCGCTTTGCTGCACATGTCTGAACCTTGCCTCTCTTTTGTAAAGACAAGCTGTATACATTTTTTTAAAAAACCCACAAGAAATCGCGATGGCCATTGACTTGTTCTAAATGGAGACTAAAATTGAGAGTGTTAGGAATTTAAATTCTAGATGAGATTCTCGGTGGGGAACAACAGAAGATGGATGACCTTGATGTAACCAGCCTCCCTGCTGTGTGTAGAATGCTTTTTGCTGCCTGTAAGAGAATGTATCACTCAAAGTACATGTTGAACTTTAATTCCCCGGGGTAATGGGAGATTCCTTCAGGGCAATTCAGATCCTGCTTCTTGTTCACGAAGGTTTATTGGCTGTCTCTGGCAGTAATTCTGTTAATTTCTCTCTGTCTCCCTTGTATATGCAAGACATTCTGAAGTTAAATTAACTCCCTGGAATATACTCCCTCTCTCTGCCAAAGTAAGATAATTAAGCCTACACAAAAGTTCCTGTGAACTTGTGAAATATTAATTGCTGGTTCTGAAATCTCGTAGCTTCGTGACTGTGGCCTCATCTCCTGTCAAACACCAAAAAGTTCCATCATAAAGCCTAGCATTGCTGTATTTAAAGTGGTAACGCTGGATTTTTTCCCCCTTCCATGTTGGGTGAGGTATTGCCTTTCCCTGCGGTGTATTTCATTACTCACTGCAGTGCATTGTTAGCAATTTGATCCCGGGAAAAGTGGAGTTCTTTGAGCTGTTACCTCCATTGCTCTTCTAGGTTGCTGTCTCTTGAACTTATCATACCAGTTAAGCCAACAGCCATCTTCTGGATAGAGCCAAAGGTGACCACTGTTCTGTTTCCAAGAGCACCCAGACAGAGGCATCTAGCAGTGTACAAGCAGTGGACACACAAGCAACTTCCTTTCCCTGTCACCTGGCCCAGCATATGATACTTATAGGTCTCATATAGCAATGGTAGCTAATAGCTGCCAATTGTCCTACCTGTTAATTTATCTAATTCTTCTTAGAGCCATCTGAGTTAGTGCTGATCACCACCCCTTGCGGCAGTGAATTCTGCAATTCAATACATATGTATGTGCCATCAAGTCACAACAAGGGGTTTTCAAGTCAAGTGAGAAGCAGAGACGGTTTGTCACTGCTTTCCTCTGTAGTGTCTTCCTTGGTGGTCTTCCATCCAAGTACCTTACTTAGATTCTGAGATCAAACGAGATCAGGTTATACCATACCACCTTCTCTCACACCGATCCAATAAGCGTTGTACAAAGTACTTTATTTTCTCTGTCCTGACATCACCAATAAGTTTCTTGTGCGACCCAAGTATTATGAAGAGAAAAATTTCCACTCACTCATAACTTGGAAACTTGTTACAATGTATTTTTTTGAAACTTAAAAAGACTCCAGAATTTTTAGCAAATATTCTCCTATCCCTTTGTTGCTTTAGTTCCCTTTTTTTGCAGTTTCCCCCCCACTGAATGACAGCATTTTTTAGTTGGGGCAACTAAAAGGATACTCAGTATTCTGTTTGTGATCACATCATACACTGGCATGTATAATAGCTGCTGTTCTTTGTCCCACCCCCCTTCCCTAATAAATCCTAACATAATTTCTTCGTTTGCCCACTGCGGCTGCATGATAAGATAGCTGCTTGCAAGCTTTCTACCACAACTCCAGCCAAATTAATAGATGTTTTTGTGGTGCCACTTTCCCAAAGGCCAGCGATCTAATTCAGCATTTGAAAGTGTGGCAGATAAACATTTTAAAAGCCTGGAAATTAACCATCTGTGCAGTGTTGTGTTTCCTGTCCAGAACGAGTTTCTGTGATGGTAGAATTTGAAATTACCTAGTACTTCTGTCCCTCACTCAATTCATTGCATAGATTTTTTCTGTCCCAGTAAAATGCTTTAAGAAAATTTATCAGTTATAAAATAACCTGCTGTAAACGTTTTATTATGACTGTCACCTATGTACACATTCTTCTTGTCTTCCCTTCCATCTGCTGAAATGTAAAGGGTAAGCTTTTGAAGCCAGAGATAAGTCAGTCTGTGAAGGGCAATGCACGTTGCTGGTATACGCAAGGTATATGTGTTTTGTGTTCATTATATAGGCAATTCATCCTCTTGATTTTGCATTCATCGGATGAAGAAACCTGTCAAAGCAAGGTGAATACTGGATTCCTGTTGTTCATGTGAAAACAGCTGTTATAACTATGTGTATGAAAATAGGTGCATGAGAAAATGTGAAAATATGTGAAAATACACACGCTGTGGGTAAAACATGCATATATACTACTTGTAACTACATATTGTGTGATTTGGACTCTCATTATGATGGTATGAATTATAAGTAAAGATGCTATCATGACATTTTGGTGATATGATAACTGCCCGGGGGGGAACACACAAAACTTCTTGCCAGTTGTGTACAATTACTAGTTTGTATCTGCTAACAAGGCCGCATCTTAGTACAATTGTACAATAAAAATCTATTGCCTCCACGATGTATTTTTCAGAGATATCATGAAAGATCTTCTGTTAATTTGTTCTTGAGAGAAGCAGACGAGTGAGGATTAGTTCATTTTCATACCATTGTCATTAATTCTAGATTTTAGTGGAATACCAAAAGCCTGATAAAAACAGTTCTCACTAAGAAAAAAAAGGAAAGGATTAAAATTTAGATGTTTTTTAAAAAAACCAAATGCTAGCTGTGAGTATAAAAGCTTCAAGAAGGCACAACATTGCTAACTGAAGAGATACTGTGATTGGTGGGGGAGGGGACTGTAACTGTTCAGTTTCTGCCTGCCATGGAAGGAAAATGGAGGTCCCCCTAGTACCTTTCTGTATGAGAAAGAGCAGCTACTTTCCCCCTGACCAAGGACCCATTTTACTTTCCATACCGTAAACGTTTTGTTCCTTCTGGCTGACAAGCAGAAGAAAAGTGGGGTGCTGGCTGCAGCTTTATTGGTTCAGTAGCAAAGGTCTGTCTGTAGAGGCTTGGGAACATAGTCCTCCAGCGTTTGGGGTTCTGGGTTTCCACTCTTTTATCCAAGGAGCCAAAATCCCACTTTTGACATGTCGGGTGCCCTTCAAGATCAGGAGGACAGCAACTCAGGCTCAGAAAGGCCCATCATCCTCATCCCCATCCCCTTCCCAAATGAGCTCAAATCTGATCTCGGCTGTCCTCATTAGCAATCACTTTCTGCTCTGTGGTAGACAGCTGCAGCCATGAAGAAAAGCTGTTTGAGCAGTCCTACATAATGACACTGGGAAAGACCCGAGAGGTCACTCAGTCTGTATCCCTATAGATTGCTATGAATCATTAAAAAGCACACTGTACCACCTGGTCTCATCCAATCCGGTGTGCCTGTGCATCACATCCACTTTATTTCCTCCCAGGTCACCAAGAATGATATTTAACATACTGTGCACAAGTAGGTCAATAAAACAAGACAGAATGGTTTGCAAAAGGTCTGTTTGTTCTTTCTACTTGTATTTGTATTGCCACAATCACAGTTCCTGGCCAAGGGATTATCGCAGTTCAGGTGGCTGACCCCAGAGTCCCAAAAGGTTCCTATGACACTATGGACTGCAAAGAAGGGCGCTTTCCACCAAGTGTTTCTTCACCTACCATTGGAAAGGGATGCAGGTGGGAAGAAGAGAAAACACTTAGTTGGGTTTTGGTGAGAAGAGAGAGAGAGAGTGAGAGTAGCCCTTGTCTTGAACTTGCAGGTCCAGCTGCTGCTGTTCACTTCCAGAATGCTCCTGAAGGACAGAGTAGTCCCTGTTGCCTCTTTTAAGGAGGAGAGACACAATTCAATGTGACATATCTGCTCACCCTGTTGTCACCATGGCAACCAAAAGGATCCCATAGGGAAGCGGAGACATGTTGCATAGCAACCAGATGGACGCTCTTGGCTGCTGCTGTTGCTTCGTTCAATTGAATTGGGTTCTCTGGGATCCTTGGAATCGGGATGTACAAAGTCGAGGGAAGAGTGGCTGCAACGCCAGGAAGAGAGGAAAGTTTATATATTTTATTTATTTATATTTATATATATATTCGATTTCTTATACCGCCCTAACCCCCTTGGGGGTCTCTGGGCGGTTTACATAGAAGGTTCTAAGAACACATCTCCCTGACTAGGGCCACATTGTGTAGGTACAGGGCTGCCTACCGACATCCAGGTGGTGGTTGTTGTTTCTCCAGCTCGGCTCTTTCCAGTTTCTTCCCAGGCAGTCTTCGGGGCGGGATGTTCATCTGGCGCTCAAGGCGGGTTAGCTTCCTTTCCAGTGAGACCGTTCAGCACACGATCCACGTCTACCTCCGGCCTTGGCTGTGTCCTTCAGGCTCCGCCGCGCTCGCCTTCAACGTCATCGTGCGCCTCCCGGTCTCCACCTCCGCCGACGACAGCCGCACGGTGTTCTGCTGCTGGCCACCAGGGATCGCTCCTGCCGCCGCTGCCGCCGCTCCGCCACACCGTCTCCACTGCCGGTACCCTGCTGCAGCCGATGTCTCACCTCCATCGCCATTGCTGGTGCTTTCACCACACACCTCACCAGAGGAGGGTGCCCCCTACCCTTCTAAGGGTAGGTACCCATTTGTCTACTCGCATTATTTACTTGCTTTCGAGCCGCTGGGTGGGCTGGAGCTGGGACAAGGGTCGGGAGCTCACCCCGACCGTGGTGGTTCTCGAACAGCCATAGTGGCTGCTTGAGAGTTGTTGTTAAGGCAGGCATTTTACCGCCTGCGCCACCGCTCCTTTAAGTTGTAGTCACTAACAGGTTAACTATTAGAAGGTGCTCTGAGACGAAGGCCCTGACCAGGATGGCCCAAGCTGGTCTGATCTTGTCAGATGGAAGCTAAGGAGGACCAGCTCTGGACCACCAAGGAAGTCCAGGGTGGCTATACAGAGGCCAACAATGGCAAACCACTTCTGTTCCATTCCTTGATGGCTGTGACTTGGTGGCACTTTACACTGCC